GTCCGCGCCACCGGGTGACGGTATCCGTGTAGCTCGCGACCACTTCAAAGAATATGTCAAGCCGATCCTCGTGGCGGCGGCACTGGACTACCAAATCATCGAAGGCAGGAGGGAAGGCGATATCCGTGCTGGTTACGCGGAGCGCATTCGCAAATGGAGACGTAAGGCAGGCGAACCGAGCACAGTGGTGGAGGACCCCACGGTCGAGGACGTCGTTTTCGCCGCGAGGACGCAGATGGGCGTTATCGAGGAGCCTGGACCGAAGGGTGATCTGGTCATCGGTCGTCACACATGGAAGGAGTACATTCGTGGTCTGCACGAAGGCTGGCTGGGACCTCTCGATCCTCCCCCTCCGCCTCCGCCCACGGAGGAACCCGCTCCCGTGGAATCGAGCCCACCCGCCGCAGAGACCTCCTCCGAGACCAAGGAGGGCGACGCCAACGCCCCCGAGCAGGAAAAGAAGGAAGAGAAGCCTGCTAAACCCGTCGGACCGACACCAGCCTACATCTCCACATCCGACTACTCATCGCAACCCCTCCCCCGTACTATCCCCCAGACTCTTTCAGGCTCCGTCCCCATCGCCTTCCCCCACATCCTGGGTTTCCTCAACACCCCCATCAGACTCTACCGCTACCTTAACCAGCGCCACATGGCCGAGAGCGTAGGCCGCGACGTCGCCGCCATCGTCCTGGCCTCATACAGCCGCCCTTACCACACCGGCTCCGGCTCCTCGGATGCCTCCCCCATCTCCGACGATACCCTTGGCAACACCACCTATGAACAACAGACCATCCTCGAGGAGGAAGAAAAGGAATGGCACAAGTCCGTCCACCGCAAGGACGAAGCCAACCCCGACAAGGAACGCGAGTGGCTCGACGACATCGTCATCGACCCGCGCCTCGCCTCTCGCATGCATCGCTTCAGCGTCTCGCCCGAGGAAGAGGCCCGCGCCCAGCGCATTCGCGACGGCCAGGAATACATCCTGGGTCAGGAACGCCCTGTCCCTGTGTCGTTCTGGAAGCGTATGTGGGTGAAGTATGGATACGGAGAGGATGAGGAGACGTTGAGAAGGAAGCCCATTTTGGGCAACCTTGATGAGGAGTAAGTCATTTTTTGAGAAAGATCTGCGGGAAGGGTATTGTTGTCACCATAAATAGAAAGGGTACTTGGATCTCTATCTGTGTTTGGGTTAGAGGTATATAGACACATGCTTACTTATTTTTCTGGTCCTTGGTATCTGGGGGTCGATACGATCAATTGCATGGGAAACGTGTTTTGTCTGGATGGATGGGTATATGTATTAACTATTGACATCTCCTTTTCAAACTGTATATTAGTCAAATTTAAGATGATCTTGGCTGGTCAAATGTCTCGTATCTAGTATAAGAACACCTCGTGGGAATGTATATCTAGTACTGAGAATAAAACGTTACAATTTCTAGGTCGCACATTCAAGTGCCTCGGGCCTTGAAGTACGTTCCTGCAACGCCTTGATGTCAACGCGCGTGAAAGGCTCCCAAACCAAACTAGCCCCAGACCGCTTGTTCTGACTGGGCTATTCTCTATTTGTTGCAAAAGTCTAATACAATACGCCTCGATGGATCTCGAAAAGCATGTTGCTGTATAGTTTTCGTCCCACAGACACACCACATACCAGGGTTCTTCAGTACAATTAGATATGTACACCCAGGTAGGATCCAGCTACAGCTACAAATTCGTAGCTGATCAAATTCTAAGGATAGAAGAATGGTAGGGATAAGGAGAAGGAGACAGACAAGTAGGAGGAGGAAGACGAAGCTAATGAGACAAGGAGAAGAAGTTCCTTTCCGCCAATCATGTTACAGAGGGTCAAAGTATAAAGGTAAGTTTTGAGTATGAGTAGTCCAAGAAAAAAAACTGTCCTATCACTTTAGTCGAGGCGGAACACCGTCGCCTCGGGCCACTTGCTGCTTGCCTTCTCAACATAAGCAGACTTTGCGGCGTGGTTGCTTCCCCATTCGCTCAGGAGCTCCAGGCCTGCCAGGGCAGTGTCGATGGTGATGTCCTTGGAGTCGAGGGTGGCGATGAGGTCCTGTTCACATTGGGGCTTGGAGTCGGGCTTCAGGAGCTGGCGGCTGGTCAGGCCGGCTTGTTGGTGGGGGACGCTCTCCTTGTGGGTAGAGAGGAAGGTGTTGTTCCATTCCTCGAGGTTCTGGCCCTTGGGGAGCAAGGCCTCGAACTCGGTGTTGACGACCTCGGCGACTTGGGGTGCAAGTGGCTCGGAAAGGCTATCCAGGGCCTTGCGGAAGCGGAGGATCTGGACATGAAGGGTGGGGTTGGATGCGTCGATGGCGTGGGCCGCGGTGAGGCACTTGAGAGCAAGCGCGTGCTTGCCTGGGGTTGCGGTTAGTATGTGATAATGATTGATAGCAAAGGGTGAACGTACCTCTCCTGAGGTAAACCTCGAATCCGAGACACTGGGCCTCAATGCTCTTGGGACTAAGCTCCAGCAAGTGTGTCAGGAACTTGGTCGCATCCTTGAGCGGGTCTTGCGTCTGGGCAAGCTGGTTGCCGAGCGGGTCAGAGTCTTCCTTCTTCACTTCTCCATCAACGCTCTTTGTGCTTGCGGCCTTTCTGGCCTCACGCTTCTCCGCCTCAATCTTCTCCAGGCGCTGCTGCTCCTTCTTGGCCTTCTTAACCGCCTTCTTACGTTCCTCGTCGTTGTCAGCAACGGCGCTGGGCAGAGGTCCGTGAGCCAGGTCGGGCTGATCGTGAAGGAGGAGGTAAGTCTTGATGGCAGAGACGGCCATCCGGGTGTAGAAGGGGTGCTCGCGCAGGCGGTCTTCCCAGCGAACCATGTCCACATAGGCACGGATCATGCCCTTGCGAAGGGAGAAGCTGTGGAAATCGAACTGATCTTCTTGCCAGGTGTCGAAGATGTTGTAGACAGCATGGAATCGCTTCAGCGCGAGGCCGAGCTTCTTCTGACGCAGGTACGCCTCACCATCCTCGGTCAGGTACCAGACACATTGCATCTCATGGAGATCACCCATAGCCCCACCAACGGTTTCGTTACGAGTGAACTTGCTCATGTTGTCAAGAGCCTTGTCGTTCTCGTTGTTGCGGAGTTGATACTTAGCAGCCTTGGAGTTGATGTGACGGTCCTTTTCGTCCAACAGCCTGGCCTTCTCCATCTCCTCAGCCGCCTTCTCGAGGTTTCCATAGTGCTTATATATCCGGGCCTTGGTCAATTGGTACTCCACAGCCTTGGGCGATAGTTCAAGGGCCTTGTCGACATTCTCCATGGCCTTGGACAGGTCGCGGCTGAGGTGGTAGTTGTAGTGCTGAGCGAGGAAGTAGTAGGAGGAAGAAAGGAACTCAGTGTTGTCGGCGCCGGACTGACCTTCCGCGGAGCCGTTCGACTGGGGCGTCGTCGCGACGTAGCCTTCAACAAGTTCCTGCACTGTATCACGCTTGGCGGGGTTGCTGTACAGTGACTTGATGTTGGCAAATAGAGAGGGAACGCCCTTCTTGAGCATGCGCTGCAAGTAGGCGTCGGCGGCCTGCTTGAAATCATCGCCCTCCAGGAACTCCAAGGGAATTCTGCGAGCAGCATCACCACGGGGGAACTTCTCGATCCACGAGTCATACACGGCCTTCTTGGCCTTGTGGTCATCACTAGGGATACCCTTCGCCCGGACCAAGGCATCGTAGTAGAGCGAGTTTTCCGGGTTCCGGTCCAGGAGCGCAATGTACGCTGCCTCCGCTTCAGCCTTTCTGTCCAGTCGCAGAAGGTAGTCCGCCTTCATCTCCATCACAGCAAGCACGTCCGAAATCCTGTGTCCCACCTTCTCCAGATGTTCCAACGCCTGTTCCACCTTACCAGCCTCGGCCATGATCACGTTCTTGTACAGAACGGCCTCCGAATGCTCCATATCCGAGGTCGGCGGAGGGATCTTTAGCGTCTCTTCGTAAGTATTCAAAACCTTTTCGGCCTCTTCCAGATCTCCGGAGAGGTGGTGTGCGATCGCGAGAGCCGTCCAGTTCTGTCGGAAACCCGGGCGAGCCTGCAGCATGGCTTTCCTGCTCTGAATGTAGCCTTGGTAATCGCGCATTTGCATTTGCAGCAGCGCAAGATCCCGCTGGATTGGCTGTGAGTCCGGCTCAATTCTCAATGCAAACCGGTATGCCTTGATTGCCTCTTCGTAGTTCTTGTCCGCCCGATACAGCAATCCGTACACATGCCAGCAGATGTGCGACTTCATGTCATTCTTCAGGGCTTCCTTGGCCAGCACAAAAGCCTCCTCCTGCTGACCCATGTTGCTCATAATAAGAGCCTTCATCGCCAAGGTATCTCCATGGTTGGGGTTCTTCTTCAGGATCTGTTCGGCGGTCTTGATGCCTGTTCGGAAGAGAGCACAGTTAGCTTTCTTGCTCACTTGCGGAGACCTCCAGCGTGTCCAATCGAGATCGCAAACGCACCCTTCTTGTGTTGCTTGTTCTCATAGTGTCGAACAACTTGGCGGAACAAGGATGCATCCTTGGAGTTCAATGGTTGCGGCATGGTGAGTGTGGTTGGCCGGTGGTGGTCTGTGAAGGACTTGCCAAGTGACTGTGCGAAGACGGAAGCTCGAAGTGCGCGGGGGAGGAATGACGATGGACGACGATTAGTCGATCAGGCAGCGATAAGCTATGACCAACACTCTGACAGCATGCACGTCCTAGGAAATATTAGGATTCTCCTTGGCCCCTATCCAATCCTCTGATTCACCCGTTCAAGCGGCTCAAATGGTATGGTTAAATGATCGCTTTTACTCGTTAAGTTCTTGCCGACCGCCGTCCTCGAGGGCTGCCCGGCACCAGACGAAATTATTATCCGAAGCGGCCTGCAGATGCAACCTGGCGGCCCTGATCCTTACCCTCCATATCACCCAATTGTCGGCAAGTTACATTGCTAATGAGTATTCACAGCATACCGTCTGGTCTGTTAATAGGTAACAAATGGTAGAGTACGCGATTCAAGCCAAGTTCATGTTTTGATTCACACATCCCGCCTGGGCTCCAACCAAGAACGCCTGTTATATGCAACTATCTTACAACATCATATACATAGCAAGTCCAGTCTCATCAACTTAGATCAGTAACCAGACAATATGCAGCTGGAAATGAGACCTCCAGGGATTGGAGGCCCTCAACCATAACCAATGCGGTGACTACTACTGGACCCGGAATCATATCACTCTGTCAACGGTGGTGCCTGCTCTCGTTGTTTCTTCTCACGCCATTTATTCAGCGCCTCTTCCCAGCCCTCCGACGGGCCACCACATCTTTCCGTTACCAAACCCCATGTGCGCGTGCGTATAATGTCTTCGACCCCCCGTTGAGTGCGGACAAGGTTGGCCAACGACTCAGTCCGTGCCTCCCGAGGCAAAAACCGGGCCGCATATGGGTCTAGGCGATCATCGACAATATGCTCGCGATCCTCTGCAGATTCGGTCTGCTGGAGAATGAGGTCCGGGTCTTCCGGGTCGGGACTTGTGGCCACTCCGGCGCAATAGTTGAGCACGTCCGAACGGACTTGCCATGACGGAAACAAGATCTTATCCTTGAAGCCCTGGCAAGCAGCTGGTTCGATCTGCTTCCCTTCACTGGCGTCTATTTGTCGAATAGCTGTGGAAGATGGATCGAATCCTTGTCGAGCTGGGGTGAACAAGGCATTGAGGTTTTGCGTAATGGAGTCATCTATGGTCGATCTAGAAATTCGTAGAAAATCTGTACAGCAGCCAGGATACCCCGGGTCAGTCCCCGCGCCCTTACTATCTGTGGACTTGACGGTGGCCGTAGCTGAGCATACCTCTGAGCAACCTCTCGTTGAAACAGAATTGGGGTGTCAGCTGAGGAGCTGAGGTTGACGTTGCTCGAGACATATTCCGATCCTCCACCTTTCCAGAGTCACTTTCTGACCTGGAAGTATTCGTCCAGAACCACTCCACTTTGGCAGCTGTACAATATGGACCGCGGTCAGCGGATCGTTTGGCTGCAAAGAAGAAGTTCAAATAACAACTGTGCTACTGAGGTAAATGAAGACCGGGTAACTAGTCCGGGGCTATGGTAACGTCCAAAAGGGCCGTGGGCTAGCAATGCAGCAATGCAATGACTTCAACAAGTTAATGTTGAAGTTCTCACGAGGTTCGGCTGGCATGCCGTACTTCACACTTCCCTAGTATATTACCCGATTAGGTTAGCATTCTGTAATCACGGGACTACGTGATGGTCGACGCGCGCCACGACCTCCTGCTTCAGCCTCTGCTCGACTTACGTGACTTCATTGAATTGACTTTATACACATCTTTGAGCCTATTCTGGGAGGAGGTCCGAACCAAAGAGACAAAAGTTCACGCCACAATATTCCGTTCCCGACAGAGACTGCCAACATTGAACATCATGCCCGAGCTAGCGGAAGTCTCACGTATAGTCCATTTCCTTCGTCAACATCTTGTCGGCAAAACGCTTTCCAAGGTGTCGGTGCAAAACGATGACATTATTTACGGCAAAGCGGGCACCACTGCTGCCGAGTTTCAAAAGGCAATGGAAGGGAAGAAAGTTACTGGTGCCGGACAGCAGGGCAAGTACTTCTGGATTGCTATGTCATCACCACCCCATGCAGTTATGCATTTTGGTATGGCGGGCTGGCTGAAGATCAGGGACGCCGACACATACTACTACCGGACAGACAAACCAGAAGATAAAGAGTGGCCGCCGAAGTACTGGAAATTCTTACTTGAGACCGATGGCGATCCAAAGACAGAGGCTGCGTTTGTTGATTTTCGCCGACTGGCCAGGATACGTCTGGTAGACTGTCCCGCGGAGGAGATCCGTAAATACAGTCCTCTGAAAGAGAATGGCCCAGATCCTGTCGCCGATAAAGACATTGTATCGGAGGAGTGGCTGGCAAAGAAGCTGAGAAGCAAGAAGGTACCTGTAAAAGCCCTGCTCCTTGATCAGGCGAATATCAGCGGAATAGGCAACTGGATGGGGTATGTTTTTCTTCAGGTTCCCCTTATGGCAGTTTCATCCAGCTGACTGCTTTTATAGCGATGAAATCCTTTACCAAGCTAAGATACACCCTGAGCAATACAGCAACACTCTTGATGATGACCAGATCAAAGAGCTCCATTCAGCGATACATTATATCTGCTCCACCTCCGTAGAACTTCTGGCAGATTCGGAGAAATTCCCAGCTGACTGGCTGTTCAAACATCGGTGGAGTAAAGGCAAGAAGAACACGCCATCAGTGCTGCCAAACGGGGAAAAAATCACTTTCCTTACGGTAGGCGGCAGAACCAGCGCAGTGGTTCCAAGCGTGCAGAAGAAGACTGGGCCAGTAGCCAAGGACGTCAGCAGTGAAGACGCCAGTAATGCGCCGGCAAAGTCGAAGCGAAAGCGGGCCTCAGTGAAAAAGGAGGAGAGCGAACCGGAAGCTAGCGAAGAGGATTTGAAGCCCAAGACAGGGCCCAAAAGGCAAAGCAGGGCTTCTGTCAAGAAGGAAGACATCGATGAGACAGAGACTAAGCTGGTAGAAGCACAACAAACTACCAGAAGGCGCTCTGGCCGACTTCGAAAGTAGGAACCCCGACCATTGTACCATTATAGCCATATTAGCGACGTATCGGGAGATACGACGTGACGGACGTTATTATACCGGTTTTATATAATACTATGTACCACTTTTCCTGGTCTACCTGTTCATACCCTCAATCCATGCAGCCTTTCCCGGAAGACATCGAAATTGCTGTTACCCTGAGCAACTTTCGACATGTCATCTAAAACCGCAAATACAATCCTCTCCCACCATCCCTGAAATTCGTTTTCATTCAGGACTTCGAACCAACATTGAGCAACCTCGGCATTTGGGTTCGCAAATGCGCCACAACCCAGAGCTCCTAGGACTATTCTCCGATGCTTCTTAAACCCTGCAATGCGGAGAATAGACCGCATCTTGTCTTTGGTCAGTTCTCGATCAGAACGAAACTTAAATGCCGCTGGATTTGCCGTATAGTCCACCTCTGGTCTTTCCAGGGCAGCAACGCTAATAACGCTCACAATAGGGAGATGTTCAGGCTTCTGCAGGTCCATCAGCCCATGGCCCTGTGTGAAACTTTCACGGAAGATAACGACGGTCGGAGAATAGATGGCGTCTCGTTCTCCTATGGGATAGTATCGGTATTTAAGGGTGGAGCTGAGGCTGCTTCGATAGCAAAGAGCCTCCTCCTGAGCCATAGCTCCATTACGCCAACCGCCGCCTGGATTGCTTTCATTGGCCATATTCAAGACACACACGTTCCGCGTGTCAGTTTGCCGGAATTGCCTGGAGGGGCTATTAACCCTAATGGCGATGTCGAACGTATCTCCAAATATGACTTCGACATGGGTTGACAGCTTTGGACTGAATCTTGGATTTAAAGAAGGATATCTGATGCGTGGACAGTACTGTGCTGTTGGAGGCGCCCGAGGCACCGTACTTAGAATGCCGGGGAGAAGGGCTTGAGTCTCTTCCGCGGTCGCTCTTAGTATTGCTCTCCTATCAGCTCCCGACATAGGCCGTGGTCGCACATTGACCGGTCGGAAGTAGTCCGGTAATAACTTTTGGCTCATCTTTGTACTTGTGGTCTGCTGTGAAACTATGTAAGCAGAATGTAAGGTTATTCTGGCTACATGTCTGTTAGTGTAGTGTGTGGCATGACTTGACAGTAAGAGCAGACTTAGGCAGCAAGGCTGGAAGCACCAGGGTGCCTGGTGAGCGGCCAGCCAAGTGGAAATCCGAGGGGCAACGCGAACGAGCGGCAGAACACGAGTGCCTGGCGGGCGGTGCTGAAAGGCGGTCAGCTTATCATCGCCGATCGCGGGGCTGCCGATAAGCATCCAGTAACATCAGAGTTCGTCGCCACTGCAGATGACAAAGCATTGGTCTTTCTTTCGATCACTGTCACTGTCGCATTTCTTCTACCTGCTCTCATATTCCATGCACACTGAAGTCTTGCACATTGTTCTCAACTCGACGTCGAAGCTTTCATATTGCTAAATCAGCACGGTCCGAGTTGCAGCGCAGACTTCTGAGCCCGCTGCGGAGTGGCGCTGCTATACCTGCTCATCTAGCTAGGAGTCTTCAATTGCCGCCACAATGAGTGCGATTCTATCTGCCGACGACTTGAACGATTTCATTTCTCCCGGAGTTGCGTGCATCAAGCCTGTGGAAACTCTCCCTGCAAAGGATCCTTCGAAAACAGATGTATGTGCTCGACCTTCTCCCTGCTTGTACCCCACTCCATCCAATGAATGAGCGCTGATTTATAATCTCTCAGAACCCCTATGAAGTAACCACAGAAGACAAAGTGCAGCCTGAAAATCTTCCACCGGCACAAATCTCTTTGACTGACTGCCTCGCCTGCTCTGGGTGCGTCACTTCAGCTGAGGCCGTGCTCATCTCGTTGCAATCGCATGCGGAAGTCCTCAACACTTTGGATGCGCATCCCGAGTTGCTGATCAACCGTGAAAATGGGACATTAGCACAGGGTCTGGGCACGGACAATGACGAAGGCCGAGTTTTCGTCGCAAGTGTTAGCCCTCAGGTGAGGGCAAGCCTAGCAGCAACCTATGGAATCACGGAGAAGGAAGCATCATACATGATCCAGCAGTTCCTCAGCGGTCCCCACGGTTTGCGGGCTGGAGGCAAGAATGGCAGCGGCTTCACATGGGTTGTCGACACCAATGTTCTGCGCGAGGCTGTCTTGGTCCTTACGGCGGACGAAGTTGGCGAGACTTTGACGACCAACCCCGATTCCCCTAGCACAAAGAGCGCAACCAATACTCTTCCCAAACGGCCGATCCTCTCGTCCGCATGTCCAGGCTGGATATGTTATGCGGAAAAGACACATCCATTTGTTCTCCCACATCTGTCACGACTCAAATCACCGCAAGCGTTGGCGGGCACCTTTTTCAAGACTGTCCTCAGTAAATCACTTGGCATCCCGGCCTCTCGTATATGGCATTTGGCCGTCATGCCTTGCTTTGACAAGAAGCTTGAAGCTAGTCGTGAGGAGCTTACCGATGCTTCGTGGCTGCCTGCGAAGGACGAAGACCACACAGCCGTCCGTGATGTTGATTGCGTGATCACCACTCGCGAACTTCTAAGCCTAGCGTCTTCCAGGGGCCTTGCGCTTCCCAACCTACCGTTCAAATCCCTTCCTCAGTCTTATATACCACCATTCCCCGATACCACTCTGAACGAATTTCTGTTCTCAAAGTCTTCCCCAGGACAATCAACTGCCGCAGGTACATCCGGAGGCTACCTCCACCACGTGCTTCAGACTTTCCAAGCACGTAATCCAGGCAGTGAGATTGTCACTCAACGAGGAAGAAATGCCGATGTAGTCGAGTACACCCTCATGTCGTCGGAGCACACGCCTATCCTGAAAGCTGCTCGCTATTACGGCTTCCGCAATATTCAAAATCTTGTTCGCAAGCTGAAACCAGCTCGGGCTTCTCGTCTTCCGGGCGGTAGTCGACGAATGCCAGTCGGACGGGGCGCTGCTTCTGGTGGTTCTGGTACAGACTACGCTTATGTAGAAGTCATGGCATGCCCTGGAGGCTGTACCAATGGAGGAGGTCAGATACGCATTGAAGATGCCCGCGAAGCTAGCTCCAGCGTGCAGTCCTCAACCTCGGGCGAAGTGCCCGACTCCTCGTCGAAGCCGACACCACATGAGCAACGCGCTTGGCTTGCCCGTGTAGACGAGGCATATTACTCTGCGGAGTCTGACTCCGAGTCGGAAGCCGGAAGCCAGTCGCAGCCTTTAATCATTCTTGAGAAAGAAGACAAAGTCCATAATGCCATGCGTTATTGGTCCGACTCCATGGGCATCCCGCTCTCGAAGCTTGCCTACACCACATATCGCGAGGTTGAGAGTGATGTTGGCAAGTCCCAGCCTGCCGCGAACGATACTACTCGTGTTGCTGAGCTTGCTGGGAAGATTGGCGGTGGTTGGTAAATTTAGTTTCTTTTCTTTCACTTATTTATGACATATACCCTGTGATGTTTGGATGACATGAGCTATGCGTGCATTTTCTTCATCGGGACAACAGTCTTTGCATTTGGACAGCACATTCTATAGAGAGATACCATGTTTGCAGGTGGAATTGGTGGCAACACGATAAGTCGTGGGAGATGTATATTGTGTCTTATACTAGATACAATCCAAAAGGCAAGCAACTAGTTAAAGCCCAGTACAAATCGTACTTCATAAAACATATCAACGTAATTATATACTCCTGAACAGAACCAAAATCGACCTAGCACATCAAGATAACCTACTCAGTACTATATTCCGACAAATACCACAATCTGCACAATCCAACCCCGCTTACTAAGCACACCACCACAACCACCTTATCCACAAACATAACTCCAATCACAACCAGCCCAGCCTAACCCAATCCAGCAAAACACCTCCAACCGCAAAAAAGTTCCAGAACAAACCAAACCACCCAAACCTTCCATCACCATCTACACCACACCCTCCACCACCACCTCCCCAACCGCACGCCGACCAAATACCTACCCTCTACACACAGCACCCCGCAAACCTCAAACTACCGCAATAAACCAATACAACCCACCATGTCCCGCGAACAATACCAAGTCCCCAACCTGGGCGGCGGCGGCGCCCAGAACGCCTTCGGTGATGCTGCCGGTGGTGGCCCCATGGACGGCCCTGTCGTCGCGTACCTGTGCGGCGAGTGCAACTCGCGCGTTTCGCTGAAGAGGGGAGATCAGATTCGGTGCAAGGAGTGCGGTCATCGGGTTTTGTACAAGGAGAGGACGAAGAGGTTAGTTTTTCCTTCTTCTTTTCTTTTTTTCCCTAAGGCTATAGGATGGGGGATGGGGTTTGGGGAGGATAGATGTTGGAATTGTAATGATTGGATGAACCTGTGCTAACTGGTTTACTTTGCGATGTGCAGAATGGTTCAGTTCGAGGCGCGGTGAACTTGGTTTTGATAGAATCAGTGGTTTGGGTTTGGTTGGGCTGGACTAGACTGATATGGTCTGGTTGGGCTTGTTTGACTTCGTTTTATGTATGATGGGGTGGGTGCATTTGGTGGCGCTTGGAGTTTGCTCTTGTTGTTATGTATTTCTTTGTGAAAGTTATTTGTTTTGGTGAGGGAGGGTTGGATGTGGGTGTGAGTGAGAGGTGGGGGAAGATGGGCAAGTAGGATTATTGTCGAGTGAAGATAAATGATGATGGGATTTTGTGCGGAAATACCCCTCGTCTTTGATTCAGGCAGTTGATTCAGCTTTGTTCATGAATCATTACTTGGGTTTTGGGTGTCTTGAACAGTATTCATTTCGATTGTTACGGTATCATAAACTATTCACTACTACCCAAAAATTAATAGCCATACTGTTGTTTCGAAGAACAAGTTGGCTTATACTTTTTAGCCACAGAAAAACCCGAGAGTCAGAAGAGAATGGGTGGTTAGAGAAATGGAAGCCGTTGATATGATTAAAGCCGGTTCGTGACTTCAATGAAGTGCTCGAAGGACTTGAGAGCAGCGCCGCTCTCAACGGCCCAGCGAGCTCGGCGGACACCCTCCTTCCAGCGCCCGCCACCAGGGCCGCGCTCAGTGATGACCTGACCGTCATCGCCAGGTCCCATGTTGCTGGTGTCCGCATCACAGATACCAGACACCGTTAGGAGGGCAGCCACGTTCATGAGGACGAAGCTCAGGATGGGATCATCCCGAGGCAACTCATTCCGCAGAATGCTCATCAGCTTGGCTGCGTTGTCCTTGGGCATCTTCCTGCCGCCAACGTCAGACAGCGGGTGAGTCGGCAGGCCAAAATCGGACGGGTGCAATTGGAACATTTCCATCTTGACCAATGTGCGGGGGTGTTCCTCCTCATCGCACGAGCACTCATCCTCCTGGGACCCTTGGTACGCGGGATTAGGATATTCCGTTAGTTGCCAGCAGTTTGTCTTTCCTGCGCAGCTGATCTCGTCCAGATCCTCCTCACCGCAAACAACAAGCGCCTTCTTGCATCCGTTTTGTCGCAATGCCTCCACAAACACCGGTCCCAAGCTCTGGTAGGCCACACCAACAACACGCGCCTCGATAGCCCAGTCGACTGGGTTGGCAAGGGGTCCCATCAAGTTGAAGATTGTCCGAAGTCCAAGCCCACGCCGGACAGGGTCGGCGTACATCATGCCAAAGTGGAAGTTGGGAGCAAACAGGAAGGAGTAGTTGGTCTCCGCATAGACCTGGGGAAGGTTATCGGCGTTAACTGCGCCGATCTTCGGGGGCACAGGAGTAATGGCGTTCAGGACGTCGGCGGATCCGGAGAAAGAGGTCTGGGCCCGGTTGCCATGTTTGGCGGTCATGAGGAGAGGGGAGGCAATGATCGAAGAGGTTGTGGAAATATTGAAGGTAGAATGCATGTCTCCACCGGTACCAACGATATCGCACTACAAGCAACGTAGACGTCAGCCGTATGATCCAACTGAGGTACAATATAACCAGCATCACTCACCAGACCACCCCTGTAGTTGCCCTCCTTCTTCCCGCGCGACTTGATAGCAGCCTTCAGAGTAGGCCGGTCGACCTGGCGAGCGGCCTCGCGCATGCGATGCGAACACTTGGCAATGACTTCAGCATCGCGATCCAATCCCGTAGAATGCAAAAGCGTGAGCAGCGCTGCGGTCTGAATATGCGAAATTCCGTCTTCGAAGATCAGGGCGAAGGCTGAGGCAATCTCCGAAGCTTCGACCCGGCGTTCCGTAGCGGGGTAGGCCAGTCTCTTGAGGAGGGGTGAAATGGAGACATGTTGCGGTTTCTGGTCATGAATTGAGGCGGACATTTTGCCTTTGGTTTCAATGTTAGCAGGTAGAACGGAACGGATCGCACGCTCCTATATAAGCAATGAGTCACAACTCACTCACCGAGCTTTCAAGCTTAGCTGCATGAAAAGGAAGGAAGGTTCGGAGTTTGGTCGGATGCCCGCTGACCGCAGAACAAAGAGTCATCTTTGCGTCCGGCAGAATCCCACCGCCTGTCAGCCCGGCTAATCCACTTTAGGAAGTCAAGATTTCGTGCCATATTTTCGTCCAGCCGGATATCCTCCAGCACGCTGCTCTTGTCGCCGGCATCGCCAATTTCACGGTCTTGGAGGTTTTCGTCCGGCCCCTACTTCCTCGAGGTACTATTCCACGCCCAATTGTCCTTTAGCCCCCCGAAACACCTCTTCCTACCCCCACAATGCCGCCTCGCGTCCGCATCTCCAGCGGCCGCATCACTCAGTCGGTCCGCCGACAAAGGGTCGTTTACCAGCATGAACTCCCAATTGCTGCCAGATATGCCAGCACAGCAGCCACGGCCACGACCCCGGCCGCATCAATCGAGCAAATGACACACTCCCCCGCCCCCATCGCCCATTACCCTCCTACGCAGCCTCCCTCGCACCGCAACCCCGAATACCGCCGGTCCCAGCTCCTCCGGCAATACACCTCCATCATCCGCACCACGCCTCTCATGGTCTTCCTGCAGCACGACAACCTCCAATCGGTCGAGTGGGCCGCTATCCGCCGAGAGCTGAGCGCAGCCATGCAGAAGGTGGACGAGAAGATTGCCTCGGAGGGCCGGAAGGCCCCAGCACTGGCTCCGCACATCAAGGTCCAGATTGTCCAGACGCGCATTTTCGAAGTCGCCCTCCGCATCGTCGAATACTTCCGTCCTAATCAGACCACCCCGGTCCCCAGAGCCGTTGACCCTGCCACGCAAACATCGGCCGAAATCCCTCTTGCCGCTTCCCGGGATGACCCTACCCTTTCCCATGACCTCTCCCGCGCCGCTCATGATGCCGTCCTGTCCATGAAGGGCAAACATGAGCTGTCGGAGCTGCTGGTTGGTCCTGTGGCCGTCCTCACTATCCCCCACGTCTCCCCCGAACACTTGAAGGCCGCGTTGCAGGTCTTGGCCCCCAAGTCGATCGGTCTTCCTTTGCCTACCCGGAAGGCTAACCCGGGCTGGCATGAGTTCCCTGTTCAGAACGGTCTGAACAAGTTGTCTTTGATTGCTGCTCGTATGGATGGACAGGTCTTCGATGTTGAGCAGTCCAAGTGGGTCACCAGTATCGAGGGCGGTATGGATGGCCTGCGGTCACAGCTCGTTATGGCTCTGCAGAGCATGGGATCCAGCATTACGAATGCTTTGGAGGGCGCTGGAAAGAGCCTTTACTTTACGCTTGAGAGCAGAAAGCAGGATATGGAGCCGAAGGAGGAGAAGGCTTCCGAGGATGAGAACAAGGGTGATTCTGCTTGAACTGCCTAAGGCTGTTGAATTCTTCTGCCTGGCTTGCCATGTATAATAAAATGTCGCGTGTATTTTTTCCTTTTACCCCCTTTTCTCTTTCCTTTTTGGTTCCATTTTTACCCTTCAAGACCATGATTGTTTTAGCACATGAAGTTTCATTAGAACCGGAGTCATAGTTCTAGGTTACAAATACATACATACTCCTTTTTAGCTGTGTTGTTCGCTTGTACACCCTACCCTGTATCGTGACCTACGTTGAATAGGGGCTATTATTTTATTGATACCTAGTTCACGTATCCCTCTTGTTGGGTCGATCACTGACACAAGGTGCGGTTCTTTTGACAATCCTATGGGAGAGACTCGGAGCGGGATTGAAGCGCAACCGGGCAGTCCTTCCTTTCGTTCCCAAATCAGCCCTCTCAATTGTTGCCATTGCTCTGCTCTGCATGCATCAACTGCCTGTGCAACAGCCGAGAATTCATCCCCACAATGCATCGTACAAGGTCCCAGTCGCCATCTAAGCCTACCCAGTCCGTAACCAGGACACCAGTAGACCAATCACCATCACCCTCTCCATGCTTCCTGCAGAGATACTCAACAGTGGCAGGGTTCAGCTTAGCAGCAATCTTCTCAGGCCACGTTCCGACCTTCCAGAAATTGCTGGCGCTCAGGAAATTGATGTAGAACGGATGGGCTCGCGTAGCCAAGGGCCCTGGAAGCACCCCAAACGGGTACTGAGTCTTGCTTGCGCGTCCACACTGCTCGGTCACGTATTCGATCTTCTTATCGATGTTCGTGGTCTCCAGGACCTCGTAGAAATCTTGGATGCAAAGCTGTCCACTGGGGCAGGTGGCACTGGCGCAATTATCGGCCCAGCCACTGGCGTTGATACCCCATCCTTTGCCATTA